CGAGGTGCGGGAGCAACACCGAGGGTTGCGATCCCGTTGCCGGTCCCGGTCCGGTCCGGGCGCGACACTGAGGGTTGCGATCCGTTGCCGGACACGAAAAAAGACAAAAAGGAAAAAAAAAAAGAAAATGTCTTGAGGTTTAGGAGCCTGGTATGGTCTCACATAGGCTTTTCTGCATATACAACGTATTTCTCTGTTTGGGACTTTTTGGGGGGGTGGGATGGGATAAGGGGTGGGGGTATTTATGTTTTTTCTTAGGGATCAACACCTATGACAGGAAGTGGGAGAAAGGTTTGGGCAGAAGGAGATGTTGAACTGCAATGCAGGCCCAACAAATAATTGCCCAGCTCTGCTGGGAACCCTGGAGCAATTACTACTCATCAAGCTGAAAAGGCCCTGCCTTTGTACTCAGGTCTTGATCAGACACTAGATGTGGGTTGCCCCAGGGAGTATAATCACAAGCAAGAGGGCTCTTGGCAACTGATGTTTAGAACTTTTAAATACCAAATGTTTTCCTAAAACAGTGATCTCAAACTTTTTTGTCTCAGAACACCTTTAGACTCTTAATATTGAGACCCCAAAGAACTTTTGTATATTTATATTATATGTAGATATAGATATTTGCCACATTAGAAAATAAAACAAATTTTTAAAACATAAGGATGTACAGTCATACGAGGATATTTCAACAAGTTCATGGAAAAATAGAATTAAAATATAATACAAATCTTTCCATGAACTTTCTGAAGTACCCTCATACATTCCATTATTTATCAGAGCCATGATGTCATCAAAAGTCAAATGACTTAATTTTATTATGAAAATAGTTTTGACCTGTGGACTTCAGAAAAGATTTTGGGGACTTCCAGGGGTTCTCAGAGCACACTTTGAGAACTTTTGTTTTAAAATACTGATAGTACTCAACAAATAAGAATTCAGTTCTTGAAAAGATCTTGGAATGTAGAATTTAAAAGTCACATCTGAAGGCTGGTATTAGTGACTTGCTCAGAGTAGCAGGGGAGTTGCTGTTAGGTCTTCAGTAAGATAAAGGAGATCTTCCCTGTCAAGCAGCACCTGCTTATATCTTCTGAACCATTGGACACCTACACCAAGGGTTCCTTACCTTTTAGGGCCTCTTTGCACATCTGATGAAATTTGTGGATCCATCTCCAGAAAAAGGCTTTTTGTGTGTATAAAATTCAGCACAGTTTCATAGTATTCATGGGACCTCCCTTTCATCTCATTCACACAGGCCAGCTTCATCAAATCCATCTTAGACACTTTCCCCTTTCTTCTGCAGGACTTCGGCATGCCTCTTAAATAGAGGTTCAGCTTCAGGCAGAAGAAACAAAAATTGCCCATCATAGAATAATACCTTTTACGTGTGTGGGGGGGCTAAGGAATACAAAACAAAATTTACCATTTTAACCATTTTTTAGTGTGCAATTCAAGTGGCATTAAGTACATTCACAATGTTGTGCAACCATCAGTACTACCCATTTCCAGAACTTTTTTATCATTCTAAATGGAAACTCTGTACCCATAAACAATAACTCCCCATTTCCCCTTTCTCTCCACCCCAGCCAGTGGTAGCTTCTAATCTATTTTCTGTCTCTATGAGTTTGCTTTTTCTAGGAACCTCAAATAAGTGGAATTTTAAAACATTTGTCTTTTTGTATCTAACTTATTTTACTTAGCGTAATGTTTTCAAAGTTCGTCCATATTGTAGCAGGTAAAAAATTTTCATTTTTTTGAAGGTTGAATAATACTACATTTGTGTATTTACCATAATTTGTTTATCCTTTCATCTGTCAATGGACAGTAAGTTGTTTCAGCTATTGTGAATACTGCTGCTATGAACATTGCTATACAACTATCTGTTTGAATCCCTGCTTTCAATTCATTTGGGTATATATCCAGAAGTGGGGTCGTTGACTCCTGTGGTAATTGTATGTTTAACTTTGTGATGAACGCAGAATAAGAGTTTATGCCTTTGATCCCCTCTTAGACATTTCAGAAATTGGGAGGAGTGCCAAATCTTACTGTGAGCACACAGCCAGGACCCAGCCCACACTGTCAGATATCGTGGTCACACTTGTTGAGATGGGTGAGTACACCTCCAGTTTCCAATTCTTCGAGGGAACAGGGTTGGGGTTACAAGAGAGGGAAGAGTCCTTAGGAGTCAGCCATGTCTGCTGAGTGGTCTTGGATCCCCTTGTGGTTCTCTTATTTGCTTTTAGCTTGAGAGGGTTATCAAGAGAGGGTTCCTCTGAACCCACTTCACAGACCTCCTAAATCTCTGTTGGGGAATTCTGCTGGAGCTGCTTTTTGTTGGTGGTGGTGATAAAAATGGAAATCAGCTTTTATTCAGGAATATCAGTGACCTGAAGAGAGGTGTTAGGCTAACCCATTACTTTTTTTTTTTTTTTTTTTTTAAAGTGTCCCCCAAAGTTCATGTATTAGAAACTTAATCCCCAATTCAACAGTGTTGAGAGGTGGGACCTTTAATAGGTGATTAGTGTATGAGGGCTCTGTCCTCGTGAATGAATTAATGTCATCACCAAGGGAGCAGGTTCATCACTGTGAATGGTTTTGTTACAAAAGCAAGTTTGGTCCTCTCTTGCATGTGCTCTCTGGCACGTGCGCGTGCTCACTCTCTCTGTCTCTCTCTCTCCTCCCTTCCCCATCTCCCTCTCAACTTCTGCCATGGGATGACATAGCTAGAAGGCCCTCACCAGATGCAGCTTCCCAGTCCCTAGAACTGTGAGCCAAATATTTATTTAATTCATAAATTACCTAGTCTCAGGTATTCTGATATAGCCATAGAAAATGGACTAAGACAATTGCTTTCTCAATTCTGTGCCTTTTTTTTTTTTTTTTTATTTGAGACTGGCCGCACCGCGACACAGCCAGTGAGCACACGGGTCATCCCTATATAGGATCCGAACCCGTGGCGGGAGCACCACTGCGCTCCCAGCGCTGCACCCTCCCGAGTGTGCCATGGGCTTGGCCCTAACCCATTACTTTTGGTAAACCTGAAGGAGAATGGCCAAGCTAAATCCATCTCAAAGATTGAGATTTCCTGAGGGGGTTTTAAAGAGGTGGTTAAGGGAATGGAACGTGGGAAAGGAAAAATAGGAGGGAGGAGAATGTGAGCTGTGGGGGCTCCCTGCAGGGAGCCAGGTGGAAGGTTCCTCCAAGGCTACCTCTGGTTTCTTCTCCCATCCTTGGTGTTATCTTAGGGTCTTGATTCAGGATGGAATCGGCACAGCTTTATTGATGTCTTCCTTGGTTTCTCAGGGTCCAGACATTACATGTCTTATAGCAAGTCTGCAACTCCAGGCTGACTAGAAAACAGTTGTTCTAAAGTATTCTCTTAACTTATTTTTCTGCTTAGAGCTTCATTAATTTCTTCTTCAGTTTGGTTCAGTTTGAGAGGTACCTTTTCTGCCGGCTTTCAGGCTCTGATCTCTTCCATCTGTGGCTCTAGAAAGGCAGGACAGCTTTTGGGATCCTGCTCACAGTGCTATAACTGTAGGGGCTAAAGGAAAATGTCACCCCTAAATGTTCATTAATAAAAATCACTGACAAACTTAGATCAATAGGAAGAAAAGGCATAACAAAATTTTTTATTAATGTGCCTAGGGGAAGGCAGAGCATGGGGGCATCACGAGAGAGTAATGTTCCCTGGCGCTTCTTTTGAGTGGCAGCAAAGTGGTTGAGGTGGGAATCTAAGCCATTTTTCCACATCACTCCCCTTTCCATGTTCAGTATCCAGTGGTCTGGGCAGCAGTTTTTGTTTTCCTGTTTCTCAGGTTTCAATGTGGACACTCTCCCTGCTTATGCCAAGCGGTCCCAGAGGATGGTCATCACTGCTCGTAAGTGACTTTGAACTGAGTTACTCAGTAAGTTATCAATTGTTGCTTGTGGAATAAATTAGTTGAATAGGGCAGGGATCAGATTGTAGTTACTTCCTTGTTGGCAGGCTCCCTTCCAATCTTTGGGGCTACCTACAATATAATCTTTATCTGGGCTAACAGGATTAGGATGTGAAGTTCAGTCACCAGAAAGGTAAACCATCTCTGAGATATTGCTGTGGTTCTTCTGCTTTAGCCCCAGAAGAGCCAATGATGCTGCTGGAAGAACATGAAAGTTCTTGTTCGTTCTTACATCTACTATGGCCTATGGGCCAAATGTAGCCGCTGCCTGTTTTTGTAAATAAAGTTTTATTGGAAGATAGCCATATTCACTTACTATCTATAGTTGCTTTCATGCTATAATGACAGAGCTTAGCTGTGGTAGAGACTGTTTGGTGTGCAAAACCTAAAATATTTACTATCTTCCACTGTACACAAAAAGTTTGATGACCTCTGCTTTAGATAAAACTGGGTGCCATAAGCTGAGTAGGGAGTAACTAGTTTGGGACCTTGTAGGACCTGCAGAGAATTCAGTGGATTTTTTCTTTAAAGCCACTTTTTTTATGTTGGCATCTTATTCACAACTCCCCTCTCAAAGTAGCAGTGGAAGTTGCTGTTCCAATCCCCTCTTATCATTAAGTCTACACTTACTGCTCAGTGTATATCTCTGTTACCTAGGTTCTCTGAAAAGAGAATCAGCAGCCCATCTAACTTCCTTAGTTCCTCAGCGTGCTCTTACACGTGGTTATCATGGTCACAGCCACCTACCTAAGAAGCTTGTGGGCAGATTGTTATAGATGGGAATGTCAACCAAGGTCATCCAGTAGAGCAGGGGATTGTGGGGGTGACTTTCTCAGGTCCTTAAGCCATTGCCGGCCTTTTATTACTAGAAATACAAAATTCCTGTTTACAAAATTTACTTCAAGAAAAGGAGGGTTTGGTCAGAGACCTTAATCTGTAGAAACCAGGGCCTTAGGTGAAGGAGTAACCAGTTGTGATTCTGTTGCAGCTCCAGTGACCAATCAGCCAGTGACCCCCAAGGCCCTCACTGCAGGGCAGAACCGACCCCACCCGCCACACATCCCCAGCCATTTTCCTGAGTTCCCCGATCCCCACACCTACATCAAAACCCCGGTGAGTGATGAAGCCATGCTGGGGGCTGTGACTGATATAAAGCGCAGTCAGTTCCTACTGACTGTCCAAAAATTTTTTGGTAAAAGGATCATTTAGAACTCAAAATGTCTTTCCCCACTGAGAAACAATTTGGTAAATGAGAATTATGTTCTCAAGTTTGCCAACACAGGTATTGTTAATAAAGAAATTGAAGCCAGCCCCAATATTGCCAGTCCCAGCAAAACACAAAAGTACATAGTCACATAGAAACAAGACTGGAAGGATATAGTCCACAAAATGTTCATAGTAATTCTTGGTGAGGTTTTAAGTAATTTTTGTTGTTTTGTGTGTTTTTCCCTGGGTTATCCAAAGTTTCCATAATAGAAAAGTTAATTTTTGAAATTGGGGAAAGAGTTCCCTAAAAACTACTTAGTAGTATCATGAAGTGGAACTTGTTATAACTCCAGGTTCTAGGCCTGAGTGAGAAGTTGGGTTGTCCTCCATGGTTTGAACATGTTCTAATTTGCCTGACCAGCAGTTTCACCTTCTCCTGGGAAGACACAGCATGTAGACAAGTCCACAGAGGATTCGTCCCACACTTCCTTTTTCCTGCCTCCATACCATGTAGTGATGGCCATCATACGACTGTTGGGGCAAGTCCTCCGGGACCTTTCTCCACAGGATTCGGGGGAAGGAATAGATGGCTGCCCATCTGATGCAACACAGCCACTAATCTGGCTTGGTAGTGTCTCTGCTCGTTTCCTGGGGCTCCCGTAATAAAGTGCCACAAACTAGGTGACTTAGAGCAACAGAAATTTGTTGTCTCACAGTTCTGGAGGCTAGAAATCCAAAAGCAAAGTGTCAGCAGGGCTGTGCTCCCTCTGAATCCTTCCTTGCCTCTTCCTGTCTTCTGGTGGTCTTGTAGATGCATCTCTCTGGTCTTGTCTTTTTTTTTTTTTTTTTTTTTTGCTTTTCTGTCTTTACATGGCATTCTCTCTGTATCTCTGACTTCACATGACCATCTTCTTCTAAGGACACCAGTCATCCAAACATATTGGATTAGGGACCCACCTTACTCCAGTATGACTTCATCTTAACCGATCACATCTGCCATCACCCTGTTTCCAAACAACGTCATATGCAGATACTTCAAAAAGCTCACAGAAAAGTGGAATTGAAGGATAATATAAATCTTTCCATGAACTTTTTTTTTTTTTCCTTTTTGTCTTTTTTACTGACCGGTAACGGGGCGCAACACCGGGAACCGGCAACGGGATTGCAACCCTCGGTGTTGCGCCCGCACCACGCTCAGCCAGTGAGCGGGAACCAGTCTCCACATGGGATCCGAACCCTCGGCGGGAGAGCCGCCGCGCTTCCAAGCAGCGCACTCTCCAGTGCGCCACTGGGCCGGCCCGTTCCATGAACTTTTTGAAGACCCCTCATATTCTGCGGTACTAGAGGTTAGGACTTCAACATATCGGAAACGTTTTTTGTGGAGACACAATTCAACCCATATCATCTCTCTTTTATAGTGTATCCCTGTCAGTAAAAATATTAAGCACATATTCCAGTATATATGTTTGCTTATTTATGTAAATATTATAATGTAACATTGTACTAAAATAACGTACATTAAAAGATAATGTCACACTTATTAAAACTTCAGGAAACCTTGTAACTGTTCTAGTGGGAGCCATGTGATTGCCTCTGCTTCCTGTTTTGTTTTGTTTTAAAGATGACTGGTAAGGAGATCTTAACCCTTGACTTGGTGTTCTCAGCACCACACTCTCCCCAAGTGAGCCACAGGCCAGCCCCTATGTTTTAATATTTTTAACAAGTATTTTCAAAAGGCACTCATTTTCGGGTCTGGCCAGTTAGCTCCATTGGTTAGAACACGGTGTTATAACACCAAGGTCTAGGGTTCAGATCCCCAACCAGCCAGCCACCAAAAAACAAAAAAGCCTCTCATTTTTATTTTGGGAAGATTTTAAACGTAAGAAAATTCTGTTTCTGTGTTTAAGTATAGATGTGGGAACTGTACAGGTGACACACTTGAATTGACAGTGACAACAGTAAAAACGTTTCCAAGTGCCTCCTTTAAAAACCATGTCTCGGGCTGGCCAGTTAGCTCAGTTGATTACAGCACAGTGTTGATAACACAAGGTCAAGGTTTCAGATCACTGTACCAGCCAGCCACCAAAAAAAATTAAAAACAAAAGAAGACAAAACCCTCTCTCCATATCACAAAGAGTAGTGACTTTTTTGGTCATTGTTATAACGTCACCTTTGCTGTTAGAATTTAAAATGTTTTGGCTAACCTCTCATTCTGATTAGATCTCAATTGTTTTTCACTCCATAACATGATTACTAACAAGCTCATAGTAGCAGGCTGCCCTTTTCTTGCTCACGTGCACTTACAATAATATCTTCAGTCTATATTTCTTTGAGGGAAACTTTGGAACAACGTGTTCAATTGTGAGGGTCGATTTAAGAAAACAGGATGGTGCAATTTGTAAATCCACATGGGCAGCCACTCACAGCAGGGTGTTACATGACATTGATGGAATCAGCAGTCCCTGTCAGGACTTCCCTGGGGGGACCCCCTCTTCTTTCAGGACATGTCTCTTACACCTGAGACCAGCCGTTATGGGAGCTAAATGAAGGCCTGGAGCTGGTCTCCACAGTAAATATTTTCACATTTCTTAATTTCTAAGATTAAAAATAAATATTAATGTAGTTACATTGTTTTCTTTCTGCCCTTCCACTGTGCTTCAGAAATCTCTGCTGTAAATGAAAGTAGTGGGTCATTTTAGAGGGTGGAAGGACATAGCAGCAACAAGGCAGGGACTGAGGAGAGCAGAATGATAGGTTGGCATCACCCTTCTGTCTTTGCTGTTCTCTTTATAGACATACCGTGAGCCTGTGTCAGACTATCAGGTCCTGCGGGAGAAGGCTGCATCCCAGAGGCGCGACGTGGAGCGGGCACTCACCCGTTTTATGGCCAAGACAGGCGAAACCCAGAGTCTGTTCAAAGATGATGTCAGCACATTTCCATGTGAGAGTCGCCCCCCTCTTTGAAGCCTGTCTTGTCGTTTGAGATACTCATACCATCTACCCTTTCTCTCAGCATGGTAGGAAGAAATGAATAAGCCTTTGTCCTCCTCTCAGGTGCAGCTTGTTCTCAGATCTCTGGCTTCTTTTCCCAGGTGTGAAGAGCCTGTCCCTAACCGATGTCTCCAAAACAGTAATGGTCTCTGTTGGGATTGGTGGCTTGAGGTACATTGAGTTAGGTTAGCTCGAGGGTCAGCTGAGCCCCAGGCATGAGAGAGGCTCATTCAGGAGAACTGGCAGCCCAGGCAGTAGAAGGAACACTGGCGTCAGGGGCCAGTTGCCTATCTCGACATCCTTTCACAGGTCCCATCTCATGTAACTGGGTCTCAGCACTACGATTTGGCAGTGTTGACCAAATTAGTTCATCTCCATAGGCCTCAGTTTTTATAAAATGAATGAGTGAGGTTGGTTTGGGTGATTAATTCATTTAGCAAGTTCCTATTGAATCCCTGCTGTGTGCCTGGCTCTGTAATAATAGCAGCTAACAGTTACTAAGTGCCAGACACTGTGCTGATCATTTCCCATACATCATCTCATTAAATCCTCTTGTAAGCTTATGAGTTAGCAACTGTTATTTTCAACACCTTTATAGGATGCCAAGACTCATAGAAAATAGAAACTTGCTCAGGGTCACATGGCTAGTAGGTAGTATTCAAACCTAGCTCTTTCTGACTGCAAGACCCTGCATCTGACCCACAGTAAAAATAATTTTAGAGTATCTCCTGACAGTTGCGTTCTACCGCAGATATATACATTGAGACTTTTTAAAAATTATTATTATGTTTTTTACCCATTTCTTCCTCATTGCTTTTTGGAAGAACTGGAACTCTCCTATACCAGATGTGTTTTATTGCTTTTTGCATACTTACCTGCAGAGAGTTCTCAAGGCTAGCTTTTGGATTTGAGTCCTTCAGACTGGAAGGATTAATATCCCTGCTCTAGAAATGAAGCTTAGAAGGGTTAATTGGCCTTGGGTACAAGATCACAAAGCCATTGCATTGCTAGGAATCTATCTATAGTCCCAGTTCTAGATGGTTTGAGTTGTATTTGCTAAAAGTGGGCTCTGAAATATTGCCTGAGTTTGAATCCTACTCTTCCATTTTATGTGTGTTTGAGAAAGTCACCTAACCTCTTGTTGCCCCATCTGTGATATGGGAGTGGTAATTGTACTTAATAGGGCAGGAGCAAGGGTTAAAGATAACATGTGTAAAGCCCATAGGACACTGCCTGGCCCATCGGAGCAAGCTAGCTAGTATTGTCTTTTGGTGGTGCTCACTGATTCATCATAAGTCACTAGGTCAGCTGCAAGGACTCCATAATGGCAGAATTGTGTCTCTCTTCCAATTCCCCAGTGATTGCGGCCAGACCTTTCACCATCCCCTACCTGACAGCTCTTCTTCCATCTGAGCTGGAGATGCAACAAATGGAAGAGACGGATTCCTCGGAGCAGGACGAGCAGACAGACACAGAGAACCTCGCTCTTCATATCAGCACGGTGGGTCCCGCCTTCTGCCTGCCTCAGGCTACCCCTGCAACTAGCCCATCCTGCCCTTGGGAATTGGATGTGACCGACACCAGGTCTCTGGCTTTATGTGAGGGGCTTGCATGATGGGCTCATGATGATCCATGTGCCACTTCAGAGACACATTCATGTCCCAGGGATTCACTCATTCATTTAACAAATATCAAATGAGTAGCTGCAGGGCTAGGTATGGTTCCAGGTGCTGGGGAGTTGGTGGGAAGCAAAATAGACAAAATTCCCTGCCCTCACGGAGCTAAGGAAAAATAATAATCTAGGGGAAGGAAGTAGGGATGGGGTAGATGCAGTATTAGATAGGGTGACTGAGAAGGTGACATTTGAGGGCTGGCATGTGGCTCACTTGGGAGAGTGTGGTGCTGATAACACCAAGGCCACAGGTTCAGATCCCTATATAGGTATGGCTGGTTAGCTCACTTGGGAGAGTGTGGTGCTGATAACACCAAGGCCACAGGTTCAGATCCCTATATAGGTATGGCTGGTTAGCTCACTTGGGAGAGCATGGTGTTAACAACACCAAGTCAAGGGTTGAGATCCCCTTACCAGTCATCTTTTTTTTTTTTAAAAAAAAGAGGGTGACATTTGAATAAAGACCTGAAGAGAACAGGGCTTGCACGTATCTGGGGTTAGAGCATTCCAGACAGCAGGAACAGCAGATGCAAAGGCCCTGAGGTGGGAGCTTGCCTTTTTTTTTTAAAAAAAAGAGGGTGACATTTGAATAAAGACCTGAAGAGAACAGGGCTTGCACGTATCTAGGGTTAGAGCATTCCAGACAGCAGGAACAGCAGATGCAAAGGCCCTGAGGTGGGAGCTTGCCTGTAGGACATCAGGGTGGTGATGGAGTGAACAAGGGAGTGAACAAGGGGGAGAGTGGTAAGGGATGAGGTCAGAGAGCTCTTGGGAGAGTCTAGCCCTACAGGATCTTAAAGGTGATACGAGTATTAAACACTTTGGCTTTTACTCAGTAAGATGGGAGCCATGGGAGGTGTCGAGCAGAGGAGGATCAGGATCCGATGTAGGTTGGTTATCAGGATCAGTCAGGTTCTGTGCTGAGGGTAGACTGTAGAGGGCAGGCAGAAGCAGGGAGAGCAGCTAGGAGGCAGCTGCAGTCAGCTGAGAGATGGTTGCAGGAGCGAAGACAATGAGACAGGGTCACATAGATTATTTGGTCAGACTCTAGATTGTTTTCTAAGCAGAGCCACTGATAGAGTATCTATGAGAGAAAGAAAGTCAAGGATAACTGCAAGGTTTCTTGCCTGAACAATAGGAAAGATGGAGTTGCCTTCAGCCAAGATAGGGAAGATGTGGGTGGAACAGGAGTGTGGGGAAGAGTCAACAGTTCAGGCTTAGACATCTTAAGTTTGAGATTCTTGTTAGACATCAAGGTGGTGGTGTCAGGTAGAGAGCTGTATATATTTAATTTTAATTAATTTAAATAGGCACATGTGGTTAGTGAAGAAACTGGAGAAACTAGCGCCAGTTGAACGTAGACTGTGCTGTCCACTACAGTAGCTACTAGCCACATGTGCTATTTAAATTTAAATTACTTAAAATTAAACTAAAAATCAGTTCTTTAGTCTCACTAGCCACATTTTAAGTGCCCGATGGCCATGTGTAGCTAGTGGGCACCATCCTGGACAGTGCAGATATCGAACATTTCCATCATCGTAGGAAGTTCTGTTGGACAGCGCTTGTATAGACAAATTGTTTCAAGGAACTTTGCTGTCAAGGGAAGGAGAGGAATGGAGTGGTAGCTAAAGAGGGGAAATTCAAAAATTAAGGGAGGTATTTTCATGATTTTTTGTCTATTTCTTTTTCTTTATTTCTGTTTCCCTTATTTTGTTGTTTTTGTTTTTTAATATAAAAGGAATAACAACATGTTTGTATGCCAATAGGAATGATCTAGTAGAGAGGGAAAATTGATGCAGGAGAGGAAGAAACATTTTGGAATGATGTCTTCTGGTAGGTGAGAGGGGATGGGTCTCACATCCTAATGGAGGGACTAGCTTTCTTATGGATGTTTCATACCCAGGATAGGAGATGGAGTGTGTGGATACAGAGGCTTAGGTGGTGAGGAGTTACACTGCTCAGAGCTTGTTTTAGGCTGTACATTCTTTTCTGGTTACCAATGTGTCATACTTAGTAAGTGAAAGGATAAGACCCCACTCTTGTTCCTGCGTCTTGGAAGACAGTGCCAAGTAGAATCACAGAACTGCTGGAAGCTGTAGTACCTTTAAGGCTTACAGTGTCCTTATAGTCAGGTTACCATATTCAATATCCTTTAAAATCAGTCCTGGCTTTTATGCAATGGATGCTTTGTTGATTGTCGGTGGACTGAGTGTCCCTCATGTTCTCTAAGATGTGATGCACCACATGCCAGGCAGCCACTTGATTTTGCAGGTGGTGTGTGCCAAGGCCATATTATTTGCTGAATGTCTTCCTTGCTTGAATACATATTTCTTTATTGTCAAATTATTCCTTTCAGAATTAGGGGTGGCAGCCCATAGCTTTAAATAAAGCAGAGGAACTTGTTATTCTACACTTTTGATTTGGATTCAGTTAATTTGGGCTGAGATACAGTGATTGGGTCATGAACTAAGTTGAGGTTCACCTGAGAAGGAGGAATCTAAGCAAACATCAACATACCTTTGTAAGTACAGTGTAGTTAAAGGGCTTGCAGATGTGTTACCTAACAATCCTGGTAATGATATAAGGTAGGTCGTGGTAGTAAGTGAACTGAGGCTGAAAGAGGACTCCTGGGTACTGAGAGGCTGAGCCAGGGTTAGAGACAGCAAAGAGTAGAAAGACACGACCCTTGGAGCCAAACTGGCCTGGCTTCAAATCCAGGTGGTGCCAGATATGTGACTTTGATTGCGTTACCTAACATCCGAGTCTGTTTCCTCACAAGACCAATAGGAATAAAACACCTGTCTCAGGGGGAATGGTGAGCCTGAGATAAGATGAGCTGATAGTGTGAAAGCTAATGCAATCTCTTTCTGTCAGACCCAGACAAAATAGGGCCAGGAAAGGCACACCGGAGGGGCTCATGCTTGCTTGTCTGAGATAAGAACTGTTGCCAAGGACTTTCTAAAACCCATTAGAAATCTCTTTGCATCCTTCATGCATCTGCTGCTTTGCACATATGCACATATTTCTGTGGCAAGGTTTATCATTAGACATTCTTTAGAACTGCAGTAATTCAGATAAGATGCTCCAAAGGAATCTTGCCCAGTAACCAATGAACTGATGACAAATCTGACTTTGAGCCTCAGAAACCAATGAATCTGTTTCCCAGCACCTTACATGAACCTCTCCCTTTTTTGCCAATGAAAGCTTTCTCTTACCCCTCCCTTACCAAAGATACTCATGGCTTGCCATGTTGTGCGTTACAAATTATAATCTTATTTTCTATTCCCAAATAAACTCTACATATTTGGAAATATTTTTCTCTAATTTTTTTTTTCTTGTGGCTGGTTGGTACAGGGATCGAACCCTCAACCTTGGTGTTATTAGCACCACACCCTAACCAACTGAACTAATAAGCCAGCCCTCCAGTGTTTTTCTAGGCTACCAATATATTTCCAGCTCATGGTACACATGGCTCCCTCCCCTGCTGTTATTTAGGCTGTACGACCATATGCTGTTCTGTAAAGAATACAATAAAAAGAAGTCAAGACAAAGACTCTAGCAACAATTTATATACAGACAGTTGGACTTGTTAATGTCATTTTGTTGGACTGGGAAATGTAATCACTGTTTCAAAATTCAGAATGTGCAAAAAGATGTGTGGTGACAATTCTTTCTCCCGTCCTGTTTTCTGCCGGCCACTTTCTCTCCCACAGTGCAACTGTCTCACCAGTCTCTTGTGTATCCTTCTAGAGACATTGTTTTTATTGTTGTTTTAAACACAAACAGCAAATCACAAGCGATTCTCTCCTTGCTTTTTCAAAACCTTCATTGCTGTATCGTGGCGATCTTTCCGTATCTATATATGAGGAGCTTCTTCATTCCTCACTGCTTTATTGTATTCAATTGTATGGGTTTGACAGTTTAACTAGTTCCCAGTGCACATTTAGGATGTTTTCCATCTTTAGCACTTATAAACATTGTTAGTTAAATAACTGATATTTTAAATTATTATCTATTGATGATAGTACATCTCTCAAGGATTGTTGCTAGGTAGTACTTTTTTTTAACTAGTTCTAGTTTCTCCATGTACTTGAACATAAAGGAACTATTCATTTTAAATTAGTGTATAATAGATTTTTTTTTTTCTCATACATTTGGACAAGCTACCTTCTGCAGGCGATCCACATGTCTAAACTTTTACTCTTTTAAGAAAAACGTGGGCCGGCCCGGTGGCACACTGCTACAATGCGCCGCTTGGGAGTGCGGTGGCGCTCCCGCCGAGGGTTCGGATCCCACATACAGACCGGCCGCTCACTGGCTGAGCAAGGTGCGGGCACAACACCGAGGGTTGCGATCCCGTTGCCGGTCCCGGTCCGGTACGGGCGCGACACTGAGGGTTGCGATCCGTTGCCGGTCACGAAAAAAGACAAAAAGGAAAAAAAAAAAAAGAAAGAAAGAAAAACGTACCATTCACCCAGCAAGTATTTATTTAACACCTAAATGGGTTGGTCATGGGGCACTTGCTTATGTGCCAAATACTGTTCTGGCTGCTTGGGATAAAGCAGTGAGCAAAACAAACAAAACCTTTTTTTTTTTTTTTTTTTTTTTTTTTTTTTTTTCGTGTCCGGCAACGGATCGCAACCCTCAGTGTCGCGCCCGTACCGGACCGGGACCGGCAACGGGATCGCAACCCTCGGTGTTGCTCCCGCACCTCGCTCAGCCAGTGAGCGCGCCACCACGCTCCCAAGCGGTGCACTATAGCAGTGCGCCACCGGGCCGGCCCAAACAAAACCTTTTCCAGGCAAGGTAGGTGATTGGAAGTGGGAGAA